AAGATTTATTGTATCTAAATGTCTCAACAAAAAGTGTTAATTTTTTTCTGACGTTTAAAAACAGAAGAAGAAAGCAGGACAAGTTAGGTGATCTGTGTATTCGTTTGAAGAATTGAGCATTTCAAGTTTTATTAGCAAATGCAGCCTTCAAAATATCTCAAGTTTCTTCTTCGTAGTCAAACTTGTCTTTTGCAAAAAAGTCTATGCTAAGCGTTTTAAAAAAGAAATTGGAAGTAACTTAAGGTGAACAGTACAGATACCATTGTAGTCGATGTGTCTATTTAGACTTATTGCTGCGTATCAGTCTATAATGACAGAAAAGCTTGCTTATTTATTATCTAAAAATAACATTTTTAAAACCATAATTATTTTTTATGAAGTATGCAGTATACTGAGAAGTTATAGTTTATCAAGCATCTAACAGTAAAACACAGTTCGATGTAATATGCTGTTAACAGCTTAGCTTAGCCGGTCACGCGACTACAGATCTGTCTTAAGCTTTAAAATACGATCGACCAACATGTGATTGCACAGTGATTATTTGTAAAACTTCAATAAGCAAAACTGTTTTTCAGCTGTTATTGGCAGGTTGTTGATATATCAGAATCAATTATGATTTATTTAGCACTGCCTGAAAAGCAGAACATTTTTTTACACACAGATACACGAAACATACGTAAAAGTAGCACATAACAAAGGATATTCAAAATGTGTAGTGGCTGACAAATCAGTATTCTCAACAGAGCGAAAAATTAAGATAACAGAAAAGAGGACAGCAGATGAACACTGAGCATTATAATGTCTAAAGTTTGAAGACGTACTTTACAGAAACAGAAGTTTACTGGTAAAAAAAAGGTGGCTGTTAATATCGAAGAAAAAAAAGGCTACTTTATGCTGCAAAAAACAGACTTTAAATCAAAGCTTGAAAACTCAATATAAAACTTTTTTTTTTCTAATATTTTTTTTACTGAAACTTATTTTTTATTTAGAAAAACTTTATTTTGATTAGTAAAATAATGCAGTGTATAAATCTGAAAATGTTTCAAGCATATAAAAGCCTTCACGTACTGTTTCGACGAATGACAATGTGTAATCAAAATCTCTAAACCTTTGAAGCGAACTATTCCCGCTTATTTACTGTAACACAACAGGAATTTCGGTAAACGACAATTACCTATCTCTCTTGTCAAGAAAAAAAATTTTGCTTGTAAGGTTTATTTTTACAGTTATAGTAACAAATTCTGGAAATTCTTTTAGCAACAGATATTGTACTTATAAAACATAATGAATAAATAACCTTTTTTAATCGGTTTTTCAAGTATCATGTATTGCTAAAAGACCATATTGCACAGTTACATCTGGAGGTCTTTTGTGCAGATGTCAATCAAAGACTAAAAAAATTCTTTTTTTTCTAATTTACACTTCAATTTTTGGTATATTTTATACAGAGAGAAGTGTAAACTATAAAAAGCACTGTTTCCGTGCAGCATTTTATTCAATTTATCAATTCATTTAGACAGTTTTTTGAGCAATGGTAATAATCTGTTTCACCTTTACAAAGCTTATATTCTAAAAAGAAGCTTTGATATGCAAATTTGTTGTCACTTTTCTCAACTGTCCTTCTGTAAAACAAATAAAGAAAAAAATTTTGTTTTTACTCTTTTTGAACAGTTTATATTGCACAATATACTGCAGTTTTTTATCTGTAAAATTTAGTCTTTTTGATAGCTTTTTTTTTTTGCTATTATTGTTTAAGTTATTGTTTATCTGTTTTTGTCGAGCAATAGATAAAATTATTATTGTTAAAGTTAACTGCTTGTTCTGTTAAATAAATTATTTCGAAAACTACACAGTAATGTAGTCATCATTTGAATGACATATTTTGTAAAAAAGTAAAAATGATGGAAAAGAATTTAAAAATTAAGAATTTTGAAATACTATTGTATTTTTTTTATTACCGTTTTTAAATTTTACTGAATACAGTGCTGGGGTTACCAAGTTTTTATTTTGGTTGACATATTCAGCCAGCAAAACACTAATTTATCGGTTACGATCATTTCTGTCTGATACAGTTTATTCTTGCAGTTTTATAATATGATGTCGGCCATAAATAGTCATTAACAATCAATATTTGAACGATCTTTTAGCTGTGACTAGCAGCTTCTGTGGTAGTGACTTTGAATCTGAACAGTGTGCTGATCAGTCTAAGATGGACAAGAAAGATATAGAATCAAGTAAACCCATAAAACATCGTTCGTTTTACTTCCTTTTTTTTTTCTTTATTTATTGTGATCATACAACTTAATAGCGTTTTAAATAACAGGTTGATTTTTGCATATCTCTGTCATCGTCTATTTCAGCTCTTTTTCATCTATTTTCACGACGCTTTCATCTGCTTCTGCTACTTTTGACCGGTTTCTGTTTAACATCATTTATGAGGGGAAATCTCGGTGTTACAATGACATGTATGGTCAACTCAACAGCAGTTGCACTAAAAGCTATTCAGGATAGTGTTGAATCAAATAAAACAATAGCAATTTTGAACATCCCAGAGCAGTGCCGTCAAGAAGATACTCCTAAAAGTGGTCTAAACGATTATGGGGTATAATTTTTTGGTTGTAAAAGAGTATGGATGAAGCTGGTTGATGGTATTCAAATTTTATGCCTCAAAAATAACATAAAAAAGATAAATAAAATATTTAATTCTATGCAGATAAAAAAAAAGAACGGTTAAAAGTTGGAGAAAATACACAGTACGAAATAAGAGTGATAGACCTGTTTAGCGAACCTTTTATAAACCTTTCCGTTGCAAGCAAGAGTGCTTTTTTAAGAACTGATCTAACATTTCATTTGTTATAATTTTACAAGAAAAAATTGGTGACATTAATAAACAATAAAGATTAAAACTAACGCTCAAGATAGTAACCTAAGATGTTTATTAATATTTTATAATGTAAGCTTAAAACAGTGCTGTTATCAATTTCATTTTTTTCTCACTTTTTTTTTCACTTCTAATTGCAAAATTACATGTTCAAAAAACTAGAACGAAAAGTTCCCAACCAAAGGTTGTTTATCTGTCTGTTAAGTCGTTTTAATTCTAGTTTATTTGTCCTCAGTAGTCTTCATATCAAAGTATAAAGTATTAGAATTTTGAATTAGTTTTCAACAAAACCTTTTCTTCAATTAATCTTATGCAGCAGAAACCTACGTGAAAAAGATTGATAATCATTTGGCTACTCAAAAAGTGCATATAGTAGCTTCTTCATTCTTAATTTAGAAAAACTGTTGTAACGAAGCAAGTGTGCAGTTATAATGCTGACAATTTCACAAAAAATTTAATTAGCACCTACTAGAATTGAAACATTAATTCTTAAACATTATCTGCATAATAGGCTTTAAAAAAATTCAAATTTTTAGTTGGCCATTCTGGTAGCATCAGCATTATTTAATCTGTACAAGTAGGTATTTTGCAGGGTACTATAGAATGGAATGTTAAACGTCAAAAAGAAATGTTTAAAGGAACATTTTGGGGTAGTCTAATAACAGTGTTGATCTCTGGTTATATCGCCGATCGAACATCACCAAAATGGTTATTTCAAATCGCATTTACTATCTATGTGGTGACAACAGTGGTATTTCCGTTCCTTGTAAATCACGTAGGATTTGAAGCTGCTTTCGCTTCACGTGTTCTTATGGGCATTGGTGAAGTAAGACACAGCAGATTATTTTTTCCAATGCTTATACCGCTACTGCGTTTATTCATTTATAAAAAAATTAAATTGATAAAAAGTAGAAAGTAGATATTTTTACAAAAGACAACTTTTTTTAGGGTGCTGTATTTCCAGCGATTACTGCTCTAATAGCTAAATGGTATCCAGCCGTCGAACGCAGTACAGCGGCATCATTTTCTACGGCGGGTAATCAGTTGGCCGGAGTTCTTGGGTCTCCATTTGCTGCAGCTCTTTGTGCATCTGCATGGCAATGGCCATCTGTTTTCTATTCTTGTGGTGAGTTTCAAAGTTCGTGTTATGTAAAGTATTGTGCAAACGAAAACTGTTCAAATTTCGCATTATTATTTTATGCAAATTTTAAATAGATTTTACCTGAAAATTTTAAGCAAAGAAATGTAATATGATGAAAACAGAAAAAAATACAAATACAGATGGCAGTTTTGTTGTTGTAAAATGTAAATGTTTTGATTAAAGTGTTTAGGAATTATTGGTGCGATATGGTCTATCTTGTGGTGTTTCACTGTTTCCGACACGCCATCAATGTGCAAATATATGAGCCCAAACGAGAGGAAGTATCTACAATTATGCGCTGCAGTTAAAAAATCAGAAATAAAAGAAGTGTGAAATTTTTTTGAGAATTTATTTCTAAAACTTATTCTGATTTGTTTTTTTTTTTTTTTTTTTTTTTTTTTTT